TAATTTATGATAATGGTAAATGCTTTAAGTTTTTCTTGAAGTAATCCAAAGTACTTGAAGTAATCCAAAGTACTTGCTACTTATATTAGTGTTTGGATGCATATTCCATAATATTTTTATTGGCGGTATCAGCTTTCCATATCATGATTTTGCAAAAATATTTTACAGTCAAAAACAAATAATAAAGATTGTACTGTTTGCAAAGTAGGTGACTAACATTTGTAGAAAGACAACTAAGATATTTAATTAATAATTTGTCACTAAATATTACATCCTACAAAAGGCAATACAGTCTTTTTTTGAGAAAGTCAAGTTTTTTTTTGCTGGAACATGGCTTTTGAAATTGTTTGCACAAATCTATTGTATATAAATGGTATCCTTCTAGATTTTCATAAATTTTCTGAAAAGATACAATTCAGTAAAAAATTATGGACTTTTAAAAATGGCTGCGACTAAAACTTAAGAAAATTTATCAACACTGGTTTTAATAAGATTTTTTTTCTACTAATTTAATAGACTTTATTACAGTGATTTTAGAAGAAAAAAAATTGTGGGTACTCATGGAGAAGTTACAAAACAATGAAATTTGCCCAAAATGCTAGAAAAACAAAAAAAACAGAGTTATTTACTTTTCCACATAATATGCGAAAAAGTAAAATAGAGTTGTACTTTAGTTTGCATAATATATTGTAACACAAATTATGTATAAATTTTAAAGTATTTCATAATCAGTACTAGAAATAAGTCTTATTAAATAAAGCCTGAATTAAACTCAGTTGTTAAATAGCCTTAGCTTCTACCTGACCTCCCAGTTAATTCAGCCTCCCCCCTCCCTGTTTATTTATTTTTTTAAGCCTGAATTAAAATTATTTTTTAAATAGCCTTAACTTCTCCCTGACTTCCCTGATTACCTCCCTACCCCCTTACCCTTCTAGTCTATTTATTTTTTAATATGCACATTTTGCCCGAACTTAGAAAAAAATTGTAATCGAACACTTCTCCTTACACGTGTGTCTGGTTTTATGTTTTACAAAAAACTCAACACGTGACATAAAAGATCAGCAAGTTATTGAGTGTCCTTTTTATTTAAAAATTTCTATATAGAATAAATATATTTATTTAATATATTTTATATGAAATATACAATATATATAATATATTTTAATATATATATAATATATTTTAATATATATTTAATATATTTTATATATATTTAATATATTTTAATATATATATAATATATTTTATATGAAATAAACAATTTCTTATTTATTGGTTGTGCCAAAACTTATGGAAACCTTAGTTTTAAAGCTTGTATTTAAATAAATGACAAGTGCATCTTTAGATCTAACTGTTGAATTGAAAAATAAAAGACTATATTATTATAATATAATATTATCAAAAAAAAATAAAGATTGTTATGAAGAAAAATTTACCAAAATCAAGAAAAATAAAGGTTTTGAGGAATGAACAGAAAAAGATCAAAAACTTGTGCACTTGCCATATAAAGTAAAACATATACAAACTAATTGTATTATCATGAAAAGGTCTACTTGGAAATATTTGAGACTTCGTATGAAGAGGCTTTTATTGCGATCTATTTAACAAACCCAACGTTAAATTAAAAAGTATTGATAATTTGACTTTATTTTTTTAAAGATTGTTAACCTCTAAAACTAGTAGGTCATAAAGCCAGGGTCAGCTATACAAAAAAAAAAAAAAAAAATCATACCGTAACAAAAAGAAAATAGTAACTGTTTTAGGAGTTTCTCCAGATTTACTTAAGGATAAACCAAAAGAGCAGTGTTGCGAAAGGAAACAAAACTTGGTCTCATTAATGGAAATAATTAAAGCAAAGTTTGATGTTTCTTGAAAATCAGAAAAAGTTACTGACTTAAGTTGCTGAGAGTTGGAATTTGTGCACAAAACTATTTTTCTGCTTCACTAAGAATGAAGCAGCATTTTATGTTATGTGTGAACAAGTTTTTGAAACAAATGCATAGCATAATAGCAGAAATGTTTAAAAAATAAGTAAGATCTATTAGTGAGAAAGTAAAAACCAATCAGATGAATACTCTTGAATGTGTCCAGGTATCAAAACCAATCTCACTCCAAGTTGGAAATAAATTAAAAAAATTTCAAACATTCTATTAGTTAATATAATAGAACTTTATATAATATATATATAACGTACTTTTTTGTTCCGGACAGTTTGTCCGATAAATTGTTTGGTTTGTCGGACATGACCGATAAATTTCAACAAAAAATATTTTTACTATAAAACTAATATCCGATTTATTATTTACTACTGGTATGTGCGGTCATTAGTAGGGGTGCACCGATGCATCGGCCGATGCCAATTGTTTAAAAAAGTCAATTTTTTTTATTTTTTTGTTTCTATATTGTATAAAAAAATATAATAATTATATTTTTTTATAAAATATAGAAACACAAAATTAAAAAGACTCATTTTTCAAAACAATCGGCATCGGCCGATGGTTACCAAGACCGATGCAACAGTGCACCCTTAGTCATTAGTATTGCGGTGTTAATTAGATTTTGAAAGTATAAAAAAAAAAACGTGTTATACTTTCATGTTTAGACTTACAAGTTAAAAACTTGTGACTTTTTTGGAAAAAAACGACAACATTTCTAAAAGAATAAAAACAGTTTTTAATAAAATAATAATAATAAATAGTTGTGTTTGCTATCGCGCTAACCATTTTTACTTTAGAGTATTGGTATTAACTATCTCTATTTAACGCTATTTATTGTGCAAACGTAATGTCTATACATAAACAAACTTTTCTCGTCAGGAATATGTTTGATTATAAAAGCAAGACCAGTATTTTGTATTTATTTTAAAGCTTAAAGATTTTCACACAATTAAAATATGTTTTTCTTTTAATTGTCATCAAAAAGAGATTTCACAAGATCCTCTCCACTATCATTTTCACTGTCGCTAAGGGAAATAATTGTTCTTTTTTTGTTTACCCAATCTTTATAAATTCCCGTTGGTTTTTGGTTTGGGCGTCTTCCTTTATCACTCCACCACAATTCAATTGCAGGAAGAAAATTGAATTCTTTCAGCAATGGACCATCTTCCAAAATGCGCAAAATATTTGAAACACAAGATTCTGTCAATGAGGTTCGATAATTTGATTTGACACTTTTCATCTTTGAAAACATTCTTTCCAGCTTAGCGTTAGAAATTGGCAAAGTAAACAATAGCTCAGCAACTGTTAAAATAGAGGTCCATGATTTACTTCTAGGTGATACAAATATGCGTCGCCAGGTAA